TGGGCGCTCAGGGCGGGCGGGGAGGGGGGCGCAGGGCCCGCAGCCGGCCGCATCCTTGGCGCGTCCCCCAAACTCTTGACCGTTATATAAAAGGGCCCTCCCTGCCTCCACCTCAGCACGCTCTGTTCCCCAGGCCCTACCTCATCCTCCACAGCCCTTCTTGCTCTGTGCTGAGGGTCTCTCAGTCCCTCTTGCACACGTGAGGGCTCTGGGAGAACAAAGCCTTTGCTGTGTGTGCTGCCAGGTGCCCCGGAGTAAGACCGAGCCACCAACAGGTGTCCCACAACATTTGTTAGAAGCATTGAAAGTTTATCCCACTTTTCTGGAGTCCACAAGGAAGAACATTTTATTGTATATGTACCAAATATGTGATTATGGAATTGCCTGGAATACATTCAGCTGAAGGTTTTAAGCACTTTGGTAAATCAGAATTAAGCAGAAATTTCCCTGGAGGCGATCTGCTGACTTTTCTATTGTGTCACAAGTGGCAAAATTAGCTTTGCTGAAGCCTCAAAGGGGAAAATAGGACACACTTGTTTTTGACCTTGATTAGAAATCTGTGCCAAACAGGATTCATATCCGGCAACTGCTCTTGGCAAAGAGGTGCCAAGTACTGAGTTCCAGCTGTCAGTTGTCCCTCAGGTCCTCAGGTCTGTGACACATTGTCAGATTTTTCTTGTTTTATGGCCTTGGTAGTCTTGGGGTGCACTAGCTAGGTACTGATGTTTGGGTATTTCTTTCTTTTTTTTTTTTTAAGAATTATTTATTTTATTTTATTCATTCATTTATTTAAATTTGATGAAAGAGAAAGTGAGAAAACAAGCCACCAGGTTTGGGACTCGAACCATGCTCAGCTGTGTGGATATACCCAGTGTCTTAACCACCATGCTACCTGCTGGTTCCCCCACTTTTTAAAAAAGAATTATTTATTTATGTGTCCAATTCCATTTGTTATTATTAATTTTTAATTTGACCAGAAAGAGACAGAGAGAGAAAGAAAGGGAAAATGAGAAAACAAGCCTCCAGGTCTGGGACTCGAACTGCAGTTGACCATGTAGGAATCCATTGCCTTTAACCACCATGCCACCTGTTGGCCTCTCGGGTGTTTTTCTTATAATTGAGACTTGTGTTAGAGTTTTGGGGGGAGACGCCTGAGGAGAAGTGCCATTCTTGTCACATTATGTCACGAAGTCCACTGTATCCATATGTGCTTGCCATGTTCTCTACTGGGTTTTCCTTTCCCTAGTCATTTCATTGCAGATGTATAGCCCACCTTCACTGGGACAGAGGCAGCAGGCTCCACCTCCTGGAGGGGGACTATGCAATGTATCATTTGAAATTCTTCTGCAAGGGATCTTTGTCTTTTCTTTCCTCATTTATTTCTACAGTCATTTATTTGTGTCAGTCTGGATGTACTTTTTAAAAATTTTTACTTATTATCATTTCTCAACTTGACCAGAGAAAAAGAGAGCGAGAGAGACAGAGAAAGTGAGAAAGCAAGCCACGAGGTCCGGGACCAGGACCGCACTTGGCTAAGTGGGAGTTCAGCACCCCAATCACCATGCCACTCACTGGCCCCTGGCTGCACAATTTTTATACTTTGGGTTATAATCCTATAGGATAGTATTTATTTTGTTGTTTGAATTGTCCTAGATTTTTTCCCACATGTTATTGCTTCACAAAATACGTTAAACTAAAATTATGAACAAAGCTAGAATCTAGTTACAAGAGCACTGTAATTTTCTTCTAAAACATTTTTAATTAATCAATTTACATTCATTCCCTGAGCATTGTCACTGCATACAAAATGTGATTTCCCATCCAAAATACACTGCATGGTGACTTAATCATGCATGTTGTCATTAGTTTTCCATTTCTAGTTTCATATATATATACACATGTATATATGTTTTTTTACCCCTATTTCTCACCCTCTGCCATTTCCCACCATCCTCACACACTGTCTTAGGTGGCTACAGTTGTTTTCCATTCCTCTTCCCCCCTACATTTTATTGATTCACAAAATTTTCTAAATAATCTAATTACTTTCAATAGCAAGTTTAGTTGGTATGTACATGTCAGTGAGTACATGTCTGACTTTAGGCGTGAAACTCTGAGTAGCATGAATATACTATAAGGTAGCACCTAGCTGATGCTATAAAGCTTACTATGGCCATTAAATAGGTATTTTTAAATATTTGTTTTGAGAGTTAAATGTATTTTTTAATTTCAAGAAAAGCAATTTTAGCTTTAATCAAAGAAATGCTAAGGAACTTTACTTAAAACTTAAAGCCAGGAAACAGGTTAGGATTCTGTTCAAATAGTAGGTACATGAACTTATCGGCAGCTCAAGATAGGACAAAAATCCTGGGACCAGCAGTTAGCGTAATGGCTATGTCGCTGGATTCCCACGTAGTTGACTGCGGTTCGCGT